ATTACTCGGGATTATTCGGTTTACAACCTGGGGTACCATGTTTATGATTGTAGTCTGGCACTGTCATGATGCTAATATGATTCCATGTTGTGAGTCTTTGTCTCCGTGTCCCTGCTCGAGGGGGTGGCGGTGACCCTGAAAGTATGTTTTAGTTGTCAGTGGCTGAATGGACCCTCTCACAACACGAATTAGGTTTAATTTGCAGTTGTTCCAATGATACTTTGTATCTTGCTTCAAGCTAGGGCGGCTTAATTCGTCATGTCTTTGCTGTTCGTCGTCACGCGCGACCGCGCAGGCATGGACAGCCTTTCAATATTTGCAAGGTACGCCGTTTCTAATCCACTCAACCTGCCGTCAGATTGGCGCAATCGATCTATCCCCGCACTGGGACCTGCGGGGGCCTGGACTGCCACGTCGTCCATAATGTACGTCCTTGCTGTGCGGTTTTCATGTCCCTCCACCCCTACGCGGGAGTGCCACGAGTGCCACGTCGCGACCGTATAATGGCTGTGAATGTCGATGTGCACTTGCACGCCAAGGAGTATTAATGAAGTGATGTCCGCGACACGCGCGTCGTGGCGTTTCGTCGCCCAGGATTTTCGCAGGGCAGGTTCAGGTTGTCGTTTCCGTGGAATGTACCTGGGGTGCTCGAGAACGTTTATACACCATGGTGTTCAATTCTCGCTGTAAATCTAGTAATCTCGCCCGAGTTCACATTTCCAATTAACGGCCAAGCAAGATCGACTGATCACCGGTATTGCCCTCTGTAGGTCACATTAGACGAGGTGTCAGCGCCGCGATGTCTGGTATATATGTCGATCGACATCGCGAGGGCGGCCAGATGCCAATGAAGGCTGTAACGATGAGCTGATACTCATCTGCGAGATCTGGGAGGGCAGGCTCGACACCGGCGTCAGAATGCTCCCGCCGTTCCTCATTTTTGTGGAGCGTATGAGCTCGCTATTCAGATCAGCTACTTACGATACACGATTTTTTTGATATACGTACCCAAGCCTACACACTAGTACTGGCACACAGACGTTTCAAACTCCGATAGGTTTTGACTACCTCACTGTACAAGACGCTATGTCGCCATCTGAGTCCATCTCGGTGTTCGCAGAGGGAACCTTCGAGGAACAGCTGAAAGAACTTCTCGTGTACACCACAAGAGGCATCCCCGACGAGGAGCGTAACTCCCTTTTGCAATCACTCCAGGACGCCGTCAAGACCGACAACGCGTCACTCGATGAAGACAGACGACGGACAGCATTCGAGCTTGTACTCAAAAACGTCAAAAGCGTCGGTCAGGGAACTGACCAGGGTATGTGTGGTCAAGATCGCTCGCGTCCCCCTCTCACATTGCCGCAGAAATAGAGGGCTTCTTCAATCTCTTGCACGCGCATCTATTCACTCTGTGGCAAGTGGACTCGTCGGAAACGAGACAACATGTGGCCTATCTACTCAATATAATCTCTTCTGCACCCTCCAACATCTCACTGATCAAATATCGCATGTGAGATCTCGTCATCCTCTCCTCCTGTATCCGCTGTACCGACCTCCATTTAGATTATTCAATTTATTCAACGCCACCCCACGGTCCTCCGCGTTGCGACCAACGATATACACCACCCTTTTGCAGGTTGCAGCAGGCAACGGCGATTTTGAATCTTTCGCTCTGACAAAATCCGATGTCGAACAATGGCTCAAGGAATGGAACGTCTCCGCCGAGGAAAAGAGCCAGTTCCTGAAAACGATCGTCGACACGCTTGTACAAACCGGCAAGGCGTGCGTTTTCTTTTTTCGGCGTGTTCCTGCGCTCACTACCTCCGCTACGCAGGGAATCCGCCTACGAATATCGAATATTACTCGTACACACACTCCCATCCTCCTCCCCGGAATCTCGCTCGGCTGCTATTGACACGATCGTTGCCGCGCTTCGTATACCGACTGTCTTTGACTTTGATACGTTGTACAACCTCGATCCTATCATCGCCGTGCGAGACCACGAATTATTCCCTGTTATCCAGATATTCCTCAGAAATGGATTTCCCGAGTTTCGGGCATGGGCCGACGCCCATGCCGCCGTTCTCGAAAGTTATCGTGCGTTTTTGTTCGTGTAATGTGTGTCCATCCCGCTGATCGAAAGGTCCCGGTCGTTGACAGAACTCGACAGCGCACAGCTCGAACACAAAATTCGCCTCCTGGCCTTGTCCTCGCTCGCATTTGACTACATTGGACGGGATCTTCCGTACTCGACGATCGCGTCTACATTACAAATTGACACATCTCAAGTCGAGGAGTGGACCATAGACGGTAAGCCATGCCTCGGAGGTTGCCTGCAGGAAATTCGTTGACTGTCTGTATCAGCCGTTCGAGCCGGTCTTGTCTCCGGCAAACTCTCCCAAGCAGCGCAACATCTTCACGTGTACAGATCCTCGGCGCGCAAGTTTGAGCGGGAACAATGGGAAGCTCTCGAGAAGCGGTTGCTCGCTTGGAAAGCGGGACTCGCAAGTGTGATCGAAATTGTCGCACTCGCACAACAGAAGGGGGGCAATGTGGCCGAGGTAGTGCAGGCGACGCAACTTGTGCAGTGAGCTCAGGTAGAAAGCACCATTTGATGCTCTATGCGTATACGAGCTACCGTGTAGACAGGTAACTAAAATGAACTGGTGGGTGGCAGTCCGAATCTGACGGGAGGCAATTAGGCTTTGCAGATATATTTCGAGCTGTAGACCATGGCAGATGCGATACAGCGATTCCGACTTCACATATATACATTCTACACCAAGCCCACAGACACATACCACAGTATACACGTCACAGAGGAATCCCGGTATAAGCCAAGCCAGCGCCTTTTATGAGCTTTTCGATCAACTTCATACCTTCCAGCACGCGTTCCTCGTCTAGACGCTTGCCGACCACCTGGACGCCCACCGGAAGACCCTCCATCGCAGCCGCGTCGTACATGCGATAATTTTCCCGTTCGATGGTGTTGCGGGCTCTGAAAGACCGTGAAACGACATCAGTACTCTTGACATGGGTAATCGGCATCACCCCCGCGCTGTAATCGAGCTAAAGTCGCAGGATCAGAAATGGGCGTCACGGCCAAGTCGCTTGGTCACGCACCAGGTTGAACAAGAACGTGTAGCCACACGCTTTCCATCCGTGACGCATTCCCCGATGCGGCACGGCTGGCAATGCATTTGGCACCGTGAGGATGAAATCGACACCCTTGTCTCCCAGACCACCTTCTACCTCGGTGTCACGCCAGACCTTGAACCACCGCGCACGGTAGTCCTCGCGTTTCACAATAAGCGCATAGTACTCTGAGACGCTCTTCTCGTAAAAGGTGTCTACCAGACCGGCATAGATCGGGTCGCGACGAATATATCTCAGGTACCACGCATAAATCTTCATGATGAAACGCGGTAACCCGAGAGCACGAAATGCTGGTATCATCCTTGCGTCGTTGGTCTCAAACGGTCGCAAGGGTTTCGCAGCAGCCTTGCCGCCATCAGCCAACAGAAGTTGAGAGGCGATCTGAAGTCCCTCGTATGGGCTAGGTGGGTTCCTGAGGCGATGTTAGACGGGTTTATCCAGAGAAGGGGAGAGGTCAGTCTTACAAGGTAACAACTTCGTGCCCGTTCTTCTGCAACACTTCGGTGACCGATTTGAGCGCCCTCAGACACGCAGGCGAGGGAGCGACAACGCCTACACCCTGCTTAGTTTTTCGACTTCCGGGATGGGATAGACACATACCATCGTCCCACAACACACCCCACCTAAGGGGTCTATCGACGGGAAACTTCACCTCCCTCCAGGGGATGTTGAGACACTGCGAGATGATATATACCTAACCAAAAAAGGTAATAAAGAATGCTCACGGAATGATCATACTCCCATGGCTTCATCTGGAACACGGCGCGCCAAAATGTCTCGAGATCTTCGAGTGTCTTCGCCATGGGGCTGTGCGTGGCCGGTACCCCCTCTTGCCCGGGAATAGTCGTGGCGCTCCCGGTCTTTATGAACCTATGCAAGCTCGACTTGATCGCATATACCCCCGAATAATGCGACGGTGCTCGAACGCTACCAGCCACATCCGTGCCGACACCAATCCTGGAGCCACCCAAAGCGAGAAGTGCACTTTCTCCCCCAGATGACCCACCCGGACTGTACCCCTTCTTGTGCGGGTTCTCAGTCCTACCAAAAACGTCGTTCGAGGCTTCGAACGAGAGCATGGTCGTGGGTACGTTGGTCTTGACGAACGGAATCGCGCCCGCACGTCGCAGGAGCCTCACAAAAGCACCGTCATACGACATGGGTTTACCCGTCATCGCAGAGTACCCCATACACGAATCGTAACCCTGGACGGCAAGCATGTCTTTGAGGGACACGGGCACGCCAGCAAGCGGACCAGAGCGATGGGCGCCGCGCGCCCATCGCTCGGCGGGTTCGATCATGATCTCGGTGAGACAGTTGGTTTGGGCGTGCGCTTGCAATGCGCGCTTGGCGTATGCCGTGAGGACATCAGAGGGGTCAAGCGATGCGGTTTGAACGCGGGATACGATGGCGGAGATGGGGAAGGAAAGGATATCCTTGTCTTGGGGCGTCAAGGGTTGGTGGTACACCTCTGGGAGGGATGCGATGCGCTGAGCGCGCTCGCGTTGCTTGTCATTGCTGCAGGGAACAAGGTGGTTGAACCGATATAGGGTGATGATGAGGGGATATCTTACCAAGCTTGTCGATGTGCTAGATAGGAAAACAACATGAGGATGGGGAAGTCACACGACGAGTGTTAGTGGGGTGGTAAACTGAGGGGACAAGCTGTGAAAAGGAAGTGATTCGAGAGAACTTGAGTATATATACTCGCTCTAAACACCCGCGTCGCGCGCAACGCGGGTGAATTGCCAGTGGAGTCTGGCTGCTCTCATGTTGATGTATTGCCGTAACTGCCATGATCCCGTGCTACTTGTAATACGAGAGCCGTCCCTTATAGCATGTCTCTGGTAGTATATCGGTGAGTACACCCGCCTGTCAATTCATATCACTTTGATCGCGGGAGAGCGGGGTTCGACTCCCCGCCAGAGAGACATTTTTTGCAGCTTTTTTGCACCCCCTTGCTGCATAGAGGAATGTCTGCCTAATGCATAGAGCGAAGTAATTGGATTACGAGCTACAACCTTGCAGAGTGCCCAGTCCTCAGGTAAGGATACTATGTAGGTGCAAGACATACATTTGTTTGTGGTGCATTTCGACCGGGGTAAATACACGAGTCGCTTGATATGGAGCCAGAAAAACCCATCTTCAAGTTTTACTCGCTCGCTCTCACCTGCCCATGCTCCAACGCATTCCGTACCCCAGACGTCCACACCCCCAGCTCCTTCTCCAACGCCGCCACACTCTCCCTCACCTCCCTCCCCACCTCACCGCCCTCGTTCTCCCGACCAAACCCAACTAGCAGCTCGTCCCTCGCATTCAACAGTGTCTCGTAGGCGATTTTAAGCCTCGTCGGACCGCTGGGTGGAAAGGACGTCGCCTGAGGCGGCGATGATGGCGATGGCTCGTCGACGGCGAGAAGTTTGCCCAGCTCGGCGAGCGCAACGCCGCGCACGGGGTGTCCTTGATCGAGTACGGCAGATAACCCGGCGGCGTGCTTGGTAGCAGTACGGATACTCTCATCCAAGAGGTCTTGTGAAAGGTGTTCGGAGAACGCGGAGAGTAACAAGGACTGATGGAATTTTAAAAGGGCGAGCAGGGGATGAGACGACGGTGGTAAACCCGCTGGGACTAGGATTGGGATCATATGCGTGGTCAGATGCTTGGCCCTGTCAGGGTCTATGGGATGATACATGAATGGATGAATAAATGTCCAAACGGAGAAGATCCATACCACTCGACTGGAGACGCGTCGCCTTATCCAGTGCTTCTTGTCCAATGCGAACTGCATCGATCACAGCGTGAGGATCGCTAATTGCAGCTTTGCATGCTGAACATTGAGAAACTGGGTTGTCTGTCGCTCTGGTCAGAAGATGTGCTCGGATCAACATCAATATCTATGTACCCTCTGTTGGGACAGGACAGGAGCCGCCACATGACTTGGGACACAAGACGGCTTCCCGTGGATCAATGATGTCGGCGGTTTGCTTGCACAGAGGGCACTGACAAGTGAAGTTGTAGGTTTCAGTCAGTGCTTTTTGTCGTTCTGCCTTGGGGAGGGTCGTGTCGATGTAAGCCATCGATACCTAGAGCAAGAAGAAAATTGAGCACTTGTTGAAAGTCTGGCCGCGGGGTGCAGCCTACCTCTTCTCCGGCCTCAATATCGCGCAGAGCGATGATATGCATGACCGGTTCTTTCACTTTTGTTTTACCACTGCGAGGGAATACAACGACTGCATTTGGGAGGCACGAATGGTTTGTGAGTGCGACAAGTGGTGACACGGTGGCACCAATGGGTGTGAGTGAGGGCGAGGTCAAGGCGAACGTGTTCGTGATGAACTAGGGCACAGGCCGAATGAGAAAAGGAAGAGTGGCAAACTTGCTTAATCCTCACCCTCGAAATCACGTTCACGAGGTCGCCAGCGGACATGATCCCATATGCTTCGAGGTCAGATGGCGCTGTCAGACCGAGGTATCTGACCACGGAGTGTGCCAGGTGGGTATGAGCCTCGACAGAGGCAGATTGCTGTAATGTTACCTTGTCTGGGATATAACCTCTGTCAACGATAGGCAGAAAAGGTAAAGAGGGAATATGACACTTACGGGATTGCATTGCCTGTAATTCTTTTGACTGAATTTGCACATGAGCAATCGGATGTACAAAGAACATGAATAGAGAACCAACCCATCCACTATTCAGACCCTTTGACTTCATTTCCCACAAAATGCGGCCTAAACACCGGACTGCATCGTTAGGAACACCCAGCTCAGCGGACGGAGCTGTGTTCGCCCATCTCTGGAGCGCACTACACTCGGGTTTGTGCAAGCTCCAATCTACCTTTTGACAGCTCTGTCGGGGTTGAATAAGTTGGGTTGGTATGAATGCTCAAGAACTCACGCTGTTACAGTACCTTAGTGTCCCACAGACAGAGCATCGCATGAGGGGTGATGTCGAAGCGGCCTTGGCGCAAGAAGAGCAATGCGAATCGAGATATTGGTTCGAGAGAACAAATACATGGGGATCTATGGACAATATGTTGGACCCTTGAAGAAACAATACGTCAACGAATTCGCTCGGGATCTGAATACCATCGTACCAGATTTGAAATGTTGCCGCGTCCACAAACCCCTCCCAGAATGATCCGTTTTCCTGATTTCGAGCAAGGAAGGGAGCTGTGGATAAAGGACTCCGGTGTCCAGTAGTACGTCATGTTGAACAGTTGAAGCTTGGGGTGAAGACTGTATGGGCACCGCTGCGACAGGACCACTCAACACAGATACATACGATTTGGAGCTTTTGGATTGCCTCCTGGACTTTAAATCGGCAAAGGACATGTCTGTAGAGCAGCCTGAGGCGTTGTTTGCCTCTATTTGACATTGACAATATATCGACGCGAGTCCGCATTGACATGATACGGCGCGCACCGTCGAGCACCTTGATGAGCATGTCATGTTCAACTTCTAGGAAAACCGGTCAAATGCTCGTTCCTATGTCCGTGGCTCGATTCTACGATTTCATGACCTTGTGACTTTGCGAATCTGCAAATCCGGGCATGCTGCCCCGGGCCTCGTGCTTGCTCAGCTGTGTGGGGGGGAACTGCGTTTTCTCTTCCATCCACTCAGTCTCGTTGCTTTGATCTCGCCCGCAGAAGAAACTCTGGCACGTTGCTTATTCCTACAACTTCCATGCCCTCTCAAACACTCGGGTGAGTTGCCGGTTAATTGCTGGCAGGACGACTGATGGACTTGACCCAGGTTTCAAGGCCACATCACCGAATGCGCCGCCAGCAACATGAATGGCAAAGTCTCGGACGATGCGGTCTGAGGTCGACCAGTGGACGGCCTGTACAAGTGCAGGTACAAGGGAGCGTCGGGGTCTTCATCTCTGGTAGAACACTCACTATTGTATGTCTTCACTCTATTCACCTCTTATAGGTTGCTGTGAAGACGTTGAGGTGTTTCGAATATGAAGATCCCGAAGAAAACCAGGGGAAACTGGAGGAGCTAAATAACAAGGTAGATCCCGTCTCCAACTGGTTGGCTTATCATTAACCTTGGACGGCAGGTCCGCCGAGAACTCGGTCTTTTGAGAACACTCAAACACTCAATCATTGTTCACTTACTCGGTGTAACACAAGTTTTTGGGCCTATACTCGCAGCAGTATTACCGTGGATGTCGAATGGTACACTGTACTCTTTCCTGAAGAACAAGGGCCAAATGCTCACATTGGTCGAACGGCTACAGCTGGTAAGCACTACGATTCCTTATTGAATTGGCGGCGCTGACCATTCGCAGGTGCATGGCATCGGATCCGGTCAGAATATTGTACGTTCTTGTCGATGATCCATCGCCCTACCTTTCTGATTGCATGATTTTGTGGTAGTACACTCGATTTTCCGTGTTCCACGGAGACCTGCATAGTGTATGTTTACGACCTTCAAGAATATGCTCATCTTCGTCAGGGAAACGTGCTCATCGATGAGGAGTACCATCTACGAATAAGTGATTTTGGCCTTGCGGCTACCATTGGAAGGTTGCAGCCCGGCCTATCGTACCTGCAACAGTTGTTAAGCACGAAGCATACAGGAGCTGTAAGATGGACGGCACCCGAGCGACTCTCTGGCTGCAAACCCAAACCACCAGGAGACATATACTCATTCCGCTGCGTGATGTTTGAGGCAGCGACTCGCGCCGGTGTCTTGTCGATGACTGAAATTTCACCCGCAGGTATTGTCTGAAGACATCCCATGGAAGGAAGAGACCGATTGCCGGGTCATCGCTCTGAAGCTGACGGCGCACAAGCCGCCTCGTCGTCCAATTGATGCAGCGGCTGAAGATCGGCATTGGGCGTTGATGGTTGGGTGTTGGTCGTGCCCTCAGCGACGCCCAACGGCACGCGACGTTGTAGTGGTGGTGCAGGCGTTTTTGTTATCAGATAATCATGATGTTGGTCCACACTGCACACGAATTGCATATCATCGTTTTTTTTTTAACCCGATAGCATGATGATAAGATCGAGATTGTTTCTGCCACTGCGGGATCTAACGGAGTATGTATGATTCCGAATGGCAGTTGTGCAGAAAGCATGAAACCTTAAATAATACACTATAACTTCGACTTCTTTTCCAGCTCAAGGAAAAACTGTGCCACGGTCTCGCTCCGCTGTCTAAGTTCAGTTTCAAGATCTTACGATACTGTAAGCCCAATTCCATCTCTTTTCGTACCGCGTCGAGAATCAGCTCACAAAAAGACAAGTCTCTTCTGCGGAGACAAGGCGAATCCGAACTTTCCTCTTAAGCACGCTGCTGTGTTTGATGTCTCACCGTTATCGCGCCAGGTGAGTGATTCTACGTAAACGCTTCCGAGTCCAACCGCAGCAACGTTCTTCTACCCCACAAGGGATGAATCTTGACCCGACGCATCAGCTGACACGATCTGTCACGAATGAACTGCTTCTCGAAGCCCCGGCGAACAGATTCTGCCGAGTGCTATATCTAGTAGATCGAGGTTATCGATGAGTACGGCAGCCCGCCAGAAATCGGCTCCACCCTTCCCCCACATCCTCTGAATACTGCACGTTTCTCGGCGCATGGCTACTCCAAACGTGGACCCGAATACCAATGAAAAGGCGCGCGGGGGCCATGAAAGGTTAGATTCTGGACTCGGGGAAGAAGATGTCGAGCGGCATGCGTTGTCTTTACGAGGCAGGGCGTTGACGGCTTCGTTGGCGTTTGTCGCAGGGACCGGGTTTACACTCTTTGGGTATGCCTTCCGTACCGTATTCTCGAGCCTATCGAAAACATGGATACCTGTAGATATGATCAAGGCGTTATGTCGGCATTGTTGACGGCCGGTCAGGTTCGCCACCTATCTCCCCACTGTGCTGCGACCGTGCTGACGTACGGGACAGTTTGAAAAGGTGTTTCCCCAGG